TCCTACCCCATTGGACAGGACCTCATGAAATTGTTGACAAACTTTCTCCGGTGGCGTACCGAATCCAATTGAGCCGGGGACAGAAAGACCCAGTGCTCAAATGGGTCCACCGCAACCAAATTAAAAGACATTCGGCTGTTGGCCGAGAAAGGCGGGGAGAGGCCAATGCAAACTAACCTGATTTACCCTCCTAGGAGTGAAAAGACTGTCCTGCCAAACCAAGGACAACTCTCGCTGACACACTGTCCCTCTCTCTCTCTCTCTCCCCCTCTCTCTACACATCTTCCCTTTCACCTCTAATAGGATGTTGATGTGGTTCGCCATCCTGCTTGTCCAGTCGACCCGAGGGCAACCGCCACCTGACGTCATCTCAACCGGCCCGGCGTCAGGCATTGTGCTGAGGGAGCAACCAGGTCTCTTGATCACCAACTGCCGGACCCACACCCAGAAGGTGTACGTTCGACTCGATCCCCGCAACGTGTACCGGGCACACTACCCCAGTGCAACAGCCCAGTACAGCTGGGCCGGGGCCCGATAGACCGAGGACTCTCTCAACCACGCCGAGGCCGACGTCAGGCACATGCTGAACCAACTCGAAAAGATGACCGTCACCCAAGCAGAATTAGGCGGACACAGCCGCCGCCCCAAACGGTTCCTTGGAGCTCTGCTGGGAGCCGCAGCTGCGGTGGGAACTCTGTTCAACATTGGTATGTCAAGTGTCAACGCCGTCAACCTAGCCACCGTGAGACGACAGGTGGCTGAAATTCAAACAGAGATCCCACAGCTAAAAGAGCAGCTCAACGTGCAGAGTGCTTCCCTGCAGACCGTTGGAAGGACCTTGAGAGGAACTGTGGTCATTCTCAACACCCACAGTGTCCTGCTGAACCAGACTGTGAAGTCCATGAAACAGCTGTTCACTGTTTTCCAAAATGACTTTGCCCAAACTCAGCTAGTCACCGCCCTGATGTCAGACATGTTGCGGGAGGTGAGCTCATCCATCGACAGCCTAGCCATGGGTAGGATCCCGCCCTACCTCATACCGTTGAGCCTTGTCCAGACTGTGCTGGCTTCCGCAATCACCACACCAGCTGATCCGCTCCAAGTACACCTGGCCTACTCGCTCGGCAGCGCCATCCCACTCTATGTCGACCCAGAGCAAAGAGAAATGGGCTTCCTCCTGAACTTACCCATCATAGAGTCAAGCCGAATCTACAGACTCAAAGACATTGTCAATGTCGGGTTTTGGAAGGGTAACACACACATCAAAATCCGCACCCCAGACGTGGTGGCCTACCACGACAGCGATCCACAGCTGTACCTGGCCCCAAACCTGCACATGTGCACATTAACGAAAGATATTCACTATCTCTGCCCTAGCAAACCCTTCCTCAGAGATAACACTGATGGAATCTGTGGGCTGCAAACCATGTCCAGCGACAACCGCTGCCCTGCCGAAGCCAAGCCTCGCATGCAAGTGGAAGAAACCCGAGCAGAGATCATCGGTGACCGGTGGCTCGTCAACACTCCGGTACTCACGGCTACTCTTACCTATGACCAGCATGACACCGCCACCCGTGTCAGCCTGCTCAACCAGAGCATGTGGATTCAAGTACCTAAAGGTGCCATCCTCCACGTAGATGACCTGGCATTATATCATCTCCCGAGCCACGAGTACGAAACAGAACTGGAAATCCCCTCCTTCTTCAAGGACCATAACTTCACCCTCGGTCCAGAACTGGAACTGGAAATTGAGACAGGGGGGTCACAGCTGATCGACATTGCTCCCCTCGACTCTGCCCTACAAGCTTTGTCTCGACAGCCCCTCTTGACTACCTCACCTGTTGTCCGAGCCTGGACCGCAGCCGACACGGCGCTGTGCCTCTCTATGGTAGTTAGTCACATTCTAACACTGGGCTTGGCTTTCATCCTGTACAGGAGACTCAACGAGAACCGAGCAGCTACCATCAGGCTCACCAAAGCCGTGTCCGGAGGCTTTCGACGAAACCCCCGGAAGGAGGATAACACGCAAGAAGCCGCCGGCAACCTCATTGAGTTAAGCCTTCAGCCCCAATAACCACCTGCTACAAGACCCTCATGATTCACCTGCATCCGCCATTGTGATGATTGTCGTCCGATGATGTCTCCACAGGGACGTCATCTGACGAAAAGGGGGACTGTAGAGTATGAATGGAGAATCATGGATTCACTAATTCCGAACGCCATGCATACATTCCTGCGAACGGTTTCTAAATGCCCACAACCTATGACTCACCCAATCTAAATCAACTAGCGCCAACGAGTCTGAAGTTTAAATTGATTTCTGACACCTTTACAGCGTAACCGAGTCTCCCCAGATCTCCTCGTGCCAGCCCGATTCATTCGCGAGGCACGATCAAAGAAGACCGTTATCTCTAACACCCCTCCCCGGCGAGGGGGGGTGCCAGATGTTCAAATGAAGATACGCACACACCTATGTTCACACACACATACCTATGAACCCTAGGTTTCTATCTATAAATCGGTACTAAAACAAGAGTTGGTGTATTAAAATACCTGTAACAGAACTATAAATGTGCAAACATGTCCTACGAATGTTTTCATGAATGTAAGACACTTATAAATGCCTGAAAGTGTGCATTAAGAGGTAATTCTGCAATATTATGTCTGTGACGTGCGATGTTTGATATGTTTGTAATCCTAAAAATCTGATCTATTCATTAAGCTGTATATCGATAGCGTGAAATATATATAACTACCTATATATGCCATTTCCAAAGTAAGCTTAAGGTCCTTCTAGTCATAAAGATGCAAATTGATTCCGAATGACCCACTCGGGGGCGTAGGCTCTCTTCAAGATGGGCCATTATCATTGGCCGACACACCTATCCAAGGCGTGTTCTGTTTATCGTTAAAACCCCAAACTCAGAGACATTCTCCGCTCTGTTCCCTGTTCCTGTATCCTGTGACCCGATGTAATCCTCGTGTTTTATTTTGTTCCTGTTTTATTTTGTCTTCGTTTTATTTTGCGTATAGCCAGTCTGTCCTTAGTGCGGTCCTCGAGATACCCACGTGCGTTTCGTTAGTCTTCCAGCATCCCAGCGAAAGGACTATCTTCACGCATACAGAACTGCGTTAGAACTTTTAAATCTCCCGCGACAACCACGCTTGGAGGAATCAAAGAAGCCCGCCTCCTATTCCCAGGACGCCACGAGCTTGCTCCCGCACCGCTCTAACCAGGTCTGAATGCAAACTGTTCCATCTAAATTTAGACGCTCTGAAGTGTGTATTCTTAGGCTGTCTCTGAGGGCCTAACTGTGCTAGCAATTGTGTTTTTCCCTGTGTTTCTACCTTCTTTTCTTATTAAGTTCATTCCGTTTTATATATATCTTTGTTTTACATGTAGTGTAGTTCATTAAACCTCATTTATACTTTATTGCCTCTGTGTTTGTTGTTGATCACATAACAAAGCCTCTTTAATATAAAGATCCTAGCTACAATCTGATAATTGTTAAGTGCACAAAACATTGTCAGTAAATTTAAGCTAAAATAAGACCACCAGCCATTGGTAACCTCTAGCGAAACAGCGCGGCGGACGTGCTGGCTTAACGAGGTATCAATCGCTGTGGTAATCTTAAAGATCAGCTATAGCCCTCTGTGTAGGATGTATATTCACAATTCCTCATAATTCGTGGTGTGAATTGTGTATATATGCCCTGAACAGACGTGTATGCTGTACGACCCCTCATTGGGTGATTTATCTATGCAAGGACTCGGCTCAAACTATATTCGATAATTTGTTGATCAGAGATTAATAACTGTTGAATATTTATCCCCAAAATCAAAACTGACTAAAGAGCTTATGACCCAGATTCCTTACAGACCACAAACAATTTGAAATCTTTGTTTCAAACATGTTTATTGCATTAATTACAGCTGCATTTATTTGAAGAAAAAAATAGGCAGAATCAATAAAAAAAACGAAGCCACTAGATTTCAATGAAAGTAGATTTTCAGAGGGAAACAAATAAATTAAAATGACTAATCTCACCAGCGCCACGCCGACCAATAAAACAGCGCATTTAGCACCATTCGTTTAAATTTGACCCATAACCTCTGCTATTATTAACGGAAATCAGTGAGGTCAAATGGCTAGGCGCATTGTAGAAACTATATTAAGTAGTCCTGACATATTATGGAATGGTTGATTTACTTTAGTGATTTTTAGTACAATTTAGTACATTTCGGTATGGGATGTGCTGTTTTATTGGGTGGCCATTGGGTGGCGCAAGCAAACACTTCCTCCCTGCGCTGTCGAGTCTGTCGCGACTCGCGAGCCGCGCAGATTACATGTCAGCGCAGAGCGAGCTCTGTAACACCGCGCCGTTTCGTCCCACTTTCGGTGTGTTTGGCTTCCCATACTTACGCGTGTTTGTCAGAGCCTGCAGTTGCTATGTGACGCGCGTTCGCGGCGGGCATATCGTGACGAGCTGGACGCGCTCCGAGAAAAGGCCGTTAACATCGATTCCCTATTCTCCTATTCCTTATTTGACCATTAAGAATTTCGAATAATGAGCGCCTAAATGTAGGCTCATACAGACGAAATTTCACAAGCAGCTACGCCGCAGCCATCACCAAGCGCGAACCATTGACAGTGAATGAAGCGAAGCGAACGCACAGGCCATAGTGTGACGTGCGTAAACCAATGGTGTAAACATAATCATCATAGATGACGCCACAGGTTTTCATTTAAAAGAAAGAACGTAGCGCAGTTCACAATACTTACTATAATATAATTTATATCATTTTATTGCATTTGTATTAGTTGTTTGAAGAGTAAAAGAAAATCGGTCGGTCTTAATGCAAGTTTACAACCGGCAAGTCGGTCGGACTAAAAGGAAAAATAAATAAATAATTGGGTCGGTCCTAAATTGACAGGGTCGGTCAGGTTACGGCAAACAAGAATATTTTTAAGGATGGCCTCATTCAAAAGCGTTATTACGATGCATCAAGCCACCCACTACAGCCGCTTGCAGAGGATACAAGTCGTCAGGATGCAGACCATCAAGGGACACAACCACTTGGGCACCGTGAAGGAAGTGTGCAAGGAACCACGCTCCTACATCATCGAGTCCGACTGAGGGACCTACAGGAGAAATCGTCGTCACATCCTCCCCGTCGCTGAGCCACCACCACGACAGGTCGACCCTGCAGACTTTGATCGTCAGTATGCCGATCCAGCTGCACCAGACAGTCCCCCATTCGCACCACACACACCTCGAGAGACCCAGGTAACACCTCGGCCCACCAGTGAGCAGCAGAGACCTGCTGTTCAGTCTCCAACGAAGGTAACAACAGGTAATAAACTGTATGTGACACGCTTAGGTCGCGTCTGCAGGCCTAATCCAAAGTATGAACAATGAATATTTTGTTGCTATGGGCTGCAAACCAAAGACATTTAAGAAAGAAGAAAAGAAAAAAAAGACAATTCTGCAGTAGACTCAATATTTCTGCTTGTAGTGCTTAGCATATAGCCTTGTTATGTTCGGGAAAAAAAAAGAAGAGATCTGCACTTAATTTTATTTTGTTCCAGTGAAATTGTTTTCAGCTACCACTCAATGCACTGAATTCACATACGAATGTTGGAATGTTTTGTATGTTAAAAGTAAAGTTTCACAATAGAAAAAAATAAAAAAATGAAACTGTCATAGTGTTGTAAGTTAATGTCTACACTGTAAAAAAAATGTTTGTTGACATAACTCATTATTTTGTGTTATCTTTTTGCATGTTTTTTTTTAGTTTAACTAACTTATTTCGAAAAGTGTACCTGACAAATTATAAAGTACAATGAACTGATTTAATTTAGTTAAGTAAACTTTGAATCTAAGTTCGGCCAACTAAAGTTAAGTTTTCTAAACTACATCCAATAAGTTCAGCCAACTAAAGTGTTTTTTTGAAAATCGAATTTTAAGCCACCATTATGGTGATGAGTGTTTGCTTTAGTTGGGCTCGTGACCCTTAAACTGTTGACATTAGATTTTATTTGGGAGTTGTTTCTGAGTTATAACTGGCAGATGATCAAAGAGAAAAGGTGATTCCGATGGTGTTGGATATATTTTGACATAATCATCACTTGAGAATTTTTTTGTGATTCTATAGCAAACGTTTTTTAGCATTTTCAATATAGTCCAAAATATTTCTTAAAAGTTTTTCTGATCAAAACACTCTGAAAAATCATTTTATTTAGACACACTAACATCAATAATCAGCCTGTGAATCTCAACAATGGTGGCAATAATAAAGCATGTTGCAGTGTATTTTGGGTGCCACCAATCAAAACTCACTCATGGCTCCCATCATGCATTGCGGTATGAATAAATTATGATCTGAAATGTCTTAGTAATATCCTTTTCCTAATTAAATATTCAGTTTGTCACCATTGTTGAGATTAATACACTGATTCTTTATGTCTGTGCCTAAAAAAAAAAAATGTTTTTTTTAGGCACAAAATGTTTTCTTTTTTTATTATTAAAACAACTTTTAAGAAATCTTTTGGATTGTGTAGAAATTTCTAGATCTTGTACTGTAGAATCACTGTGATGTTGTAATCAACATTATACATTTAAAGTCAGAGATTAGGCTCTAAATGAGTTTTGTGATGTCAAGTGAAGTCAAGTGATGATTATGTCAAAACATAACCAACACCGTCAAATCATCTTTTCTCTTCGATCATCTGGCAGTTATAACTCAAGTACAACAGCCAAAACAAAATATAATGTTAACAGTTTAAGGCTCACGAGACCAACTAAAGCAAACACTAATCGCCATAATGGTGGCTTAAAAAATAGATTTTCTCCTTTGGTGATTCTGCTTGTTAACATCAGGTGTCTTCAATAATGGTCAATCATCACTCAATGAATCACTTAACACTCCCAACTTTAACAAGCCATATAAACTCCCAGGAGAGTACATTTAACACTGGAGTTTTTGCTGTGAATAATTCTGAAAAAAATTATTTTACTAATGTTCATTTGCACTTATGAATTTAATGTATGATTTATTTTTATATTATTAAAATATATTAAGACTATAAACGCTTATTACGAACTAAAAACTCGTCACAATCACTTTCACAATATAAAATGTCACACTTACTCTGTATCAGTGTATTTCTTCTGAAGACACATGTAAGGTCCAACATGGAAAATCATCCGGTTTCCACTGGCTTCTCTCGAAAATTCTCAGAGAAAAAAATGATTCAGCGAATCATCTTGAGCGGTTCATTTTAACGAATCGCTCAAATCCGCCCATTATGGATTAAATTTGACCATGAATAAAAACTAAAGCGGCTAGAATTTTTTTTTGTGTAATTTAATGAATCTGTGCTCATATTGTAAAAACATTGTTGAAGTTGAGGATTTATTTTTGAAGCGGTTTTAAAAGCTTGAAGTTTAGGTTTTAAGACCATACAGTCTACCAGACAGCAAGATAGATAGATAAATTAAGTTTAGTTTAATATCAAAGCATTAGAGTATAATTGAAGTAAAACCTGCAGAAAATGTAGTGCAGTTGTTTCAACTTACATTTATAAGTTAAAATAACAAGTATATTTGTTAATTCAACAGAAAATCTAGTGCAGTTGTTTAAACATAATTTTTTTAGTTAAAATAACAATTTGACTTGTTCATTCAACTTTTAGTCTAGTTGAGAACAAGAAAACTTAAAATTTCTTGTTGTCTGGACAATCTAGTTATCTCTACTCAAAAAAATAAGTTGAAATAGCTAAATTGCTAAAATATTTTTTACAGTGTAGCCTTTTATTCTGTTTGCCGTAGAAGGCACAAACTAAAGAAAGGGGATGTAGATCATTCTGGTGAATGATTATGTTTGCGTACTGTATGAACACTACAAGACACCGTACCGGAGGAAGTGCGCTTGCGCATTAGTTTAGCCTGTCCGGTGTGTACATCTCCCGCCAGGTTGCTAGTATAGTTTGTTGCCTGAGGCTGTATAAGTTCATTATACTCAACAGAGGTTTATGTAATAAACACATCTGGCTTGGATTCAAACCATGGACTCCTCGCTCATTTCTAACCCCCCCCCCCCCCCCCCCCCCATCCCCCCATTTCCATCTAAAATAAAGTTCTGAAAGGTTGAAACTAAGTGTTCGAAAACTCAAAATCTTACAAAAAAAAGTTTTGCAAGATCGAAAAATAAGATTTGCAAGCTTGCAAAATGTAAAAAAATTTAAAATATCTCTGCAAACATTATGTTGTTTTTGAGATTTCCTTCTTCAGAACTGCAACATTTTTTTTACGATGTTGCGCAAACAATTTTTCAGAGTTTCAAATTTGTCAGTGTTCTCCCACTGTATTAGTTTGTTTTCCAGGTTTGAAACCTTGTAAATGGTGATCTGAAAACTGGTGTGCGAATGTGTGAAAAAAAGTTTTGAAACTCTGAAAACAGACTTTTGCAGGCTTGCAAAGGGGTAAAAAAAATTAAATCTCTGCAAACATAATTTTGTTTTTGAGTTTTCCTTCTTCAGAAGTGCAACACTATTTTTTACGGTGTTGTGCAATCATTTTTTCAGAGTTTCGAATTTGTCACTGTTCTCCCAGTGTATAGTTTGTTTTTCAGATTTGAAACCTTGTAAATGGTGATCTGAAAACTGGTGTGCGAATAGGTGAAAAAAAGTTTTGAAACTCTGAAAACTGAGGTTCGAAAGGGCAAAACATTACATTACATTACATGTGCACTCCTATTGCAGACTATTTTTTCAGAGCTGAGTTTACAACACCCAGTTTGCGGAGATACGCCCACACAGTTGCGAGCTTGCGACTCACGTGATTTGTGGCAGCTTTGTCACGCAGTTCTGCTCTGAAACTCTGAAACTCAGACTGAGCGAAAATGAAGCTTCGCAACCTCGCAACTTAAAAAAAAGCCTGGAGGGAGGGCCTTCTGCTCTTGGCCAATGCTTTGCTGTCTGCTGACGTACAGTCCAATCACAAGCCCTATTTACTGGAAAGGTGGGATTGACCGACTGCTCCGCCAATGACGAAAGCGTATGGGATGAATAATATATTCATGCATTCTAGAAACAGAGCAATGAATGCACGCGTGTCACCTGATCAAAAATTGCACATCTTGTTGCATGCACAAGTTCTGAGCTACATTAATACAAAATCGAGGTTTTGTATTAACAACTATATGGCTCTAGTTGTACAAAATGCTGCACATTCATGTGATTCTGGATTTTGCGCACACATTGTATTGTATTAGTTTAAATGTAGTGACGAACATTTGTGAATTTGTCAAATAGATGTGTAGTTGTGCCCACATTAATAATTAGCACCAGGCCTATTCTTTTGTAGTTGTTTGTGTGTGGATTGTGAAATGCTTAAAACCCGCGAAAAGAAAGTCTCAAAATCCAAATGAATCAAATGAGATTGACTCAGAAAAGACGTCAATGAATGCACGCGTGTCACCTGATCCACACATGCACGTCTTCTTTGTTGGATGCGCAAATTATGAAACACTAATACAAAAGAAAACATTTGTATTCACAAAAATGTCTCTATTTGTACAAATTGCAAATCTTGTGCGATGTCCTACTCCTAAACTGCCGAGATAATCACACAAGCGTGCTAGACGTCCACTAATGACACGTCCGATACGCAAACGAATGACTCATTTTAACTATTCACTTTAATGAATAGTTAAAACAACTGACCTGTCCAACGCTGAACTCACGAGACCTCTGAATCGGTGTATAAAAAATCGGTAACACTTATAGATTAGTTAACATTTACTATCAACAAACTGCACTTCTACAGCATTGTTAATATTAATGTAAATATTTAGAGAGTCTGCATAGGCCCACTATATTTGTTGTAGCCATTAAATAAGCGCATTTAGTTTCATTTTTGTTAAAATATTATAATGTTATTTTTTTTCACATTTATGCTGATTATGAAAATTGAACAGCGTGAGTAAGATGGATGCGCAATATATCGGAAGATATGATGGGTCAGACATGATTTTGACCACTAAATTAAGTTTTGTTTTGTAGAAAGCCTTTCTTTAAAGTGAATTTCGTTTTGTATAAATTGTATCTTAATTTTAATCAATTTTTCATCAACCAATTGCCTGGATATATAATAAATAAGAAGCAAATAGCTGACAATATGATCATGGAGGCGCGGGCGCGATTGCATTGCACATGAGCTGGAGCATCTCATTATAAATTTTGCTCATTTAAATAATAGTGTGTGTGTGTGTGTGTGTGTGTATGTATATAGCCTATATACTGTATATATATATATATATATAATTGCGCAGCTCCCCCTGTCAATGATCTAGCACCTCCTCAGCACCTGCGTTAAAAATTATCTGGCGCCGCCCCTGTTGAAAGGCCTTTGGTTGTGGATAATAAAACATTTCTGCAACATTAATCAAGTTCATTGATAATTGTGCTTGCACGTGTTAATCATTTTGATACTATATTTTGATACAGCACTTTGGCCAACAGCTGTTTTTTTAAATGTGCTCTATAAATAAATATGACTGACTATATTCATTCCATACGCTTTCGTCATTGGCGGAGCAGTCGGTCAATCCCACTTTTCCAGTAAATAGGGCTTGTGATTGGACTGTACGTCAGCAGACAGCAAAGCATTGGCCAAGAGCAGAAGGCCCTCCCACCAGGCTTTTTTTTAAGTTGCGAGGTTGCGAAGCTTCATTTTCGCTCAGTCTGAGTTTCAGAGTTTCAGAGCAGAGCTGCGTGACAAAGCTGCCACAAATCACGTGAGTCGCAAGCTCGCAACTGTGTGGGCGTATCTCCGCAAAGTGGGTGTTGTAAACTCAGCTCTGAAAAAATAGTCTGCAATAGGAGTGCACATGTAATGTAATGTAATAAGTTTCGCCCTTTCGAACCTCAGTTTTCAGAGTTTCAAAACTTTTTTTCACACATTCGCACACCAGTTTTCAGATCACCATTTACAAGGTTTCAAACCTGAAAAACAAACTAATACAGTGGGAGAACACTGACAAATTTGAAACTCTGAAAAATTGTTTGCGCAACATCGTAAAAAAAAAATGTTGCAGTTCTGAAGAAGGAAATCTCAAAAACAACATAATGTTTGCAGAGATATTTTTAATTTTTTTTACATTTTGCAAGCTTGCAAATCTTATTTTTTGATCTTGCAAAACTTTTTTTTGTAAGATTTTGAGTTTTCGAACACTTAGTTTCAACCTTTCAGAACTTTATTTTCAGTTTTGAATCATGGCAGGATATTAATCCCATACAACTGCTGACTATGAATTAAACTGAATCCCAAAATAATATTGTTTCAATCATTATCAGAAATCGGTTGGAACTACAATCGAACTTTTTAGGTCATAATAATAATAATAATAGTAATAAAGGAATCAGATGCAATGAAGCACCAGAAAATACAGATCAGCGCAACATGCCTTCAGCCACTCTATTTGAAACAGTCTCCGGTCCTTACAGAAGCATTTTCATGTACTACATGTATTGAAGGAAATGTCGGTGAGATTTTTGATAAATGTGTGTTAATTTTTGTCTTGCAGCACGTTTTAGCTTTAGGCCACATCTTGAAAATGGCAGAAAGGATTGAAGGTCTGAATTTGGTGTTACTGGGAAAAATGGGAGCTGGGAAGAGTGCATCAGGAAACACAATACTGGGAAGAAAAGCTTTTGAATCAAAGGAAAGTTTCACTTCTGTCACACAAGATGTTGCTGTTGAATATGGGTGGGTCTGTGGACGACGGGTCACTGTTTATGATACACCAGGATTATTCAACACAAAGCTCAGTGAAGAGGAGATTCAGCAGATGATAAATGAAAATGTTCTTCAGAGATGTGAATCAGGTCGCTGTGTGTTTCTGCTGGTCATCAAAGCTGACAGATTCACTGGAAAAGAGAGAGAAACTGTGGAGAAGATTGAGAAGCTGTTAGGAGAAGAACGCTTAAAGAAAACCTGGATTCTCTTCACTGGCAGAGATGAACTAGAGGAAGATAACATGTCAATAGATGAATTCGTCTATGAGACTGAATCACTGATGAGACTGGTTCAGAAATATGATCAGAGATACCATGTGTTCAACAACAAGAAGAGAGAACCTAATGGACAAGTTCAAGAGCTGCTTACAAAAATATATTCAACATACCCTGACACAATAGGTGAGATGTTATTATACAAAATATTATGAATATTTGAGACAAATTGTGAAAGTCTAATCTCACTGACTGTCTTTAGAGATTCAAACGCAGCGTCATGGCAAGACAGAGTTACAGTAGAGATATCTCTGTATTATAATGTTATACAGATTGGTTTGTATTTTTATTTTTTTTTCTGCATGACAGGGTAAATGTTTTGCACACTTTCTCCCCAAAAGCTAGTGTTTAAGCTATTTACAGATGTGACAAGAATAAAACATTTATTGTTATGGTATGTAATGTGTCTGGAAAAAGCTGAAATGTAGGACTGTAACAGCTGTATCTCTGTCCAACCACTGTGAGTAAAGTAAGTGTTGAAAAATGATATTCAATTTGTTTTATTTCTTTTTATACAGAAAAAGGAGCAAAACCGAAGCAGGAACGACGGGTTCGAAGCAGGAACACGGGACAAAAACCAAAATGCATTCCTGTCTCCAGTCCCTCTTTCCTACAAGAATCCTTCTTTTTGAGTGCAGATGAAATCACAACACAGGAACTTGGTTTTATTCCAGCATCTTATTTATTTGACATTTTCACAGGTGAGGAGTTAGCAATGGAGATCATGAGAAGTGTTTATATATCCAGTCCTGGACTGTGCGTTTTTCTCATTGCTCTTAGCGTAATTGACAGATTCACTGAACAGGAGCTGCCAATTCCTCAGATCATTGAGATGCTTGGAGAAGAAGTGTTAAAATACTCCATCATTCTCTTCACTCGTGGAGGTCTGTTAGAAAGTTTTAAAGTTTGACTACATTGTGTCAGTGAGATCTGTGTATTAAGATTTCAAACTTTCTAGCTGATTTCAAAGAGTGAAGAGAATGGTGGAGTATTTTAACACTTCTTCACTAAACTTCATCTCAGACATCGTCCTACTCCTCCTCAGAAGCTGCGTCACATCAATTCCGGAGACAGGAGTTGGTTTTGCTTGTTGTCTCTTCACTTGGTGAAATGCAGAGATCAAACTAGCTGCACTACAATTGCCAGCCCTGAACTAAAATCAAGTCACAGAAAATGAATAACACATTCTACGGAGCACCAGAAGGGACTTTGTTAGGCTTGCTGCAGTAGTATGCGTGATTGCGAATTCAAAAGTGAAAGAAAAAGTGAAGAGCGAGCACACATTCAAAAGTGACTTCAATACTGTGCATATTGATTGTGGCTCTCTGAAGCCAGCCAATTATATACAATATAATTACCCAACTATAGAATTGCTAGAGAATGCAAAAGCATTGAAATATATACAGTATTTTATCTCATTTTTTCTACCAACAAGTCCCTTTAGTGGCTCCGTAGAATGAGTCGATATTAGTAAACCCTGCAACTGCTCACAGCAAAATCCCCAGTGTTAAATTAACACTGAAAAGTGTGAATTATATAAACTCTGAGCAGAGTGTTAAATGAACACTGAAGCAGTGTTAAAGTTAATGAGATAATTAAGTGAATAATTGAGTGATGATTGAGCATTATTGAAGACACCTGATGTTAACAAGCAGAATCACTGAAGGAGAAAAGCGGAATTTCTAAGTCACCATTATGGTGATCAGTGTTTGCTTTAGTTGGGCTCTTGACCCTTAATTCATTAACTTTAGATTTTGTTTGGCTGCAGTACATGAGTTATAAATGCCAGATGAACAAATAGAAAAAAAGATGATCTGATGGTGTTGGTTGTGTTTTAACATAATCATTATTTCACAATCATTTGACCTGAATCACTGAACTCATATAGAGCCTAATTTCTGAGTTAGGTTTACTTTATTAATTATAGCATACAATTTTTTAAAGACACACAGAATTCAATAATTAGCCTGTGAATCTCAACAATGGTGACAATTATAAAGCATGTTGCAGTGCATTCTGGGTGCCACCAATCAAAACTCATTCATGGCTCCCATCATGCATTGCTGCATGAATAAATAATGAGCTTATGTTCAGAGGTGATCTGTTTGTCACCATTGCTGAGATTTATATGCTAATTCTTGATGTCTGTGTGTGCCTACATAAAATATTTTTTGGAATTTTTATTTTTTATTAGATCGTTTGGATTTCATTGAAAAGGCTAAAAATGGTATGTTCTAAAATGACAGTGCTGCTAAAATCCACAAGGTAAATTTAACTCAGAATTTATGCTCTTGATGAGTTCAGCGATTCAGGTCAATTAATGATTATGTTAAAACACAACCAACATCAACAGATCACCTTTTCTATTTGTTCATCTGGCTGTTATAACTCGCATACAGCAGCCAAACAAAATCTAAAGTTATTGATTTAAGGGTCAAGAGCCCAACTAAACCAAACACTGATCACCATAATGGTGAAATTCCGGTTTTCTCCTTCAGAGATTCTGCTTGTTAACATCAGGTGTCTTCAATAATGCTCAATCATCACTCAATTATTCACTTAATTATCTCATTAACTTTAACACTGCTTCAGTGTTCATTTAACACTCTGCTCAGAGTTTATATAATTCACACTCTCAGGGTTAATTTAACACTGGGGATTTTGCTGTTGAAATTGACTACATTGTGTCAGTGAGATCTGTGTATTAAGAGTTCAATTTCATTCATAATCAACAGTTGCAGGGTTTAATAATCATCTGTTGGGATGTGACTCATTCAACGGAGCATCTAAAGGGACATGGTGGTGAAAAGATGAGAGGAGAAGAAAATATATATTTCAATTCTTTTGCATCCTCTTGCAAATATATAGTTGGGTAATTATATTGTAAATATTTTGCATGCAGAGAGCCACTATCAATATGTGCAGTATTGAAATCACTTTTGAATGTGTACTTGCTCTTCACTTTTGAATTCATGATCACGCATAGTATCGCATACTACCGCAGCAAGCCTGGCAAAGTCCCTTCTGTGGCTCTGTAAAATGCGTTATTCATTTTCCATTTCTGGCAATTGTAATACAGCTAGTTTGATCTCTGCATTTCACCATTGTGTTCTTGAATTAGGAATAGGCCAACTTATGGCTGCACGATATATCGTTTTAGCATCAATATCATGATGTGTGCATCCGTGATAGTCACATTGCAGGATGTCTGATGTCAAGTATGGGGATCGTAGATCAGGTTCGAAATTTGAGATTTGCGGATTAGTAAACTCGTAAAAACAGTTGGGTATGTTTTAAAGGGGTGGTTAAATGCCCTTTTCACAAGATGTAAAATAAATCTCTGATGTCCCCAGAGTGTGTATGTGAAGTTTTAGCTCAAAATACCCTACAGATATTTTTATATAGCATGTTAAAGGGTCATGAAACCCCCCTCTTTCAGCTCAAGTCTAGCTCACAATCTTTTTGAAAAATGCAACTTAAATGGGCGTGGATGGCTGTGAGAAGGGGTGTGGTAAGGCCATCACTGTCATCGCCAGTATCCCATGCATATCGACTGTCACTAAAAGCAGTGGTAAAACGTGAGGAAATGCCAGATTTTTTTTATAGCTGGCAAAGTTAAAGTCTTATGAAATACGACACTTTATTATTGTCCTTTCAAAAGTAACTGAATGCCCTGCTATATTAGCCTACAGTAATCGTAATTCTATTGAGAACATATTAATGTAGGCTACATGTATAATTATAATGTCATTATAAAATATATAGTTGTTTATAGACACTATAAATACATATATTTGTAAATTATTAATTTGCCGCTTAAAAAAAACGTTCCGTGCATAGCCTAGATCTACGCGCCCCCTGAACCCCCATAATAAAGATGGCTCTGTGGAGGTGGATGACTTCTCATTTTAGACACACACACACACACACACCTCTGATGGGATAGAAAAGTCCTCGGGACTTGGTACCGCATCACTCGCAAGACGCAACCTGCATTGGTTGTCAACAAGGCGAAGTCCACCATTCTCCAATTCTCGAAGCTCTCTCGAGAAAAAATGTTTGCGGCACACACGTTTAGATGTGTCCGTGGTTGATGGAAAACCAACCGCCCGGAGCCAGAGTCTAGCCCGGGCAGCATCGCGGGGAAACACATTCAACCCAATTGGACTTTTGCACCACGAAAACAAAAACTTGCGTGCGTCCCGTGATTGCCTCTCTCATCTACTGCGCGATATCACAGTTTGACATGTCTGTCATTGGAAAGATCCACGCGGTGTCATGAATAATTAAGAGACAGTGTCTTCTCATAGGATATGAAAACTCAGTCTCATTAATAATTATGAGACACCGATGAGTCATCAACGCACTCACAGTGCACTGCCACGTCACAGCCTGAAGATTTTAAACCCGGAAGACGAAAAAAGCGGAAAAAAACTCAAATTTAACCATTTTAACCCTACTATTAAATCTAACTGATGCTAACATTGTCTTCAATGGTATTCAACACACATACCTCTGTAAAAATCTCAGAAAAATTGGTTTGGGGTTTCATGACCCTTTAAAGTTGTCACTTTTTGAGGGTGAGCACCGTTTTTGTGTCTGTCCCTTTAAATGTAAATGAGTTGCTGTTCCTGACACAGAGGGCGGAGCTTCAACAGCTTGTGTCTTTTTACCTCACACACACTGAAAATTTAAAAAACTTTTAAAACCTTTTATGTTCAAACCGGAGTCTGAAAGATGGAGAGACTCAGGAAGAAGTGACAATGTGTAGACAACATTTCTGAATGGTTAGTTGATGAATTTATGTTGCTTATGTTTCATTATCTTCTAGTCATTGATTAGCATATTCGTGTTCAGGGGGCGGGGTTTATGTAAATTCTAGCGTTGGTGATGTCACTAACCCGGGAGAAATGTTGTGTAGTCACTACCAGCCGCTTGTTGTAGTCCTTTAAAAGCAATGTCTTTAAAAGAAAATATCTTCATTTGCTTTGAACTTTGAGCGTTGTAACTTTGCAGATGTTGTTTATCCCCAAACAGCAACATTAACTAAAGTTAGAAAAGTAAAATAATAATCAACCACCCCTTTAAGTGAACGTAACATTTAAAGTCCTCCTGTAGTCAATAATTGTATCCCTTAAGACTCATCTTTGATCACCAAATTTATTTAAATGTTTTTTCCTTGAAGAAAAAATACTTCATGCCTTAAAATAGCTCAAATGTAACTCTACAACCTTGCCTCATTTAGTATACACTGTTCTATGAATATGCAAATAAGCCCAGCCTCCACTCACTCACAGCATCTCAGAGATCCACTCGTTGACGATCACACATTGATCTGATCCGAAACACCAGCGATTTCAAACTGTGTTTTTGAGACTGTCTTTGGTTCACTGCAGTTTTAAGGAGAAAATACTCAGCAATGGTGTCGACTTATGAACTTGGTTTGTCTTAAAGCATATTAAAAACACCACATAGACATAAACAACAATTAAAATTTTTGATTTTCAAAAGCTTGATTTTCACCACAGGAGGACTTTAAGAATAAAAACGGATGTGTATAATTTTATTGTTTATTAAATTATTTATAATTTTTAAACTTAACTCAGAAATTCGGTTTAATATAAGTTCAGTGACTCAGGTCAAATGATTGTGAAATAATGATTATGTTAAAACACAACCAACACCATCAGATGACCTTTGTTTATTGTTCATCCGGCTGTTATAACTCATGTACAGCAACCAAACAAAATCTAAAGTTAATAAGTTAATGGTCAAGAGCCCAACTAAAACACACACTTATCTCCATAATGGTGACTTAAACATTCCGGTTTTCTCCTTCTGAGATTCTGCTTGTTAACATCAGGTGTCTTCAATAATGCTCAATCATCACTCAATTATTCACTTAATTAACTCTTTAGCTCAGAGTTTAATTGGGTCGCTTAAAATGACCAAATTCCATGATGTTGAAGTTACATGAACATATTATGTTTGTTTAACGAAACATAGTTATGTGGAACCAGTGGAACCTGTTTACATAAAAAAGTTAAGTAAAGCCAACATATCATTTTTTTGAGTGTACTGTAATTCTTTGTATGTTGGATTGGAGCAGTCATCCCTTCGTCGGTTACAGTTAGTCCAGAACGCAGCAGCTCGACTTCTAACCGGGACTAAAAAGCGCGACCATATTTCACCAGTCTTAGCCACGCTGCACTGGCTTCCTGTTTGTTTCAGGATTGAATTTAAAATTGTATTAATGGTTTTTAAAATCTTAAATGGGTTGTCACCGTCTTATTTAATGGAGCTCTTACATGTCCATACACCTGTCAGAGCGTTGAGGTCTTGTGATCAGTTGCTTCTCGATGTGCCCAGATCTAGGTTGAAGAATAAAGGTGACAGAGCCTTTGCAGTGGCTGCTCCATACCTCTGGAATAGTTTACCTATTCATGTAAGGAAAGCTCGGACCATTGTAACATTCAAGTCCTTGCTTAAGACCCATTATTATGCCTTGGGTTTCAATTCAAGTTGAGCTTTGATATCTTGACCTATTGTTGCTTATTTTTATTGTATATTGTGTATTGTTTGTGTATTTTTATTTTATTTTATTTTTTTATCTTGAATTTTGTTAAGCACTTTGGTCAATCATGGTTGTTCTTAAACGTGCTATATAAATAAACTTGAACTGAACTGAACTGAACTGAACTGCTTACATTATCTATTGTACAGATGATGAAGAGCTGCTGAGGCCGATTCCAGTCAGACTTCTTGATGAACCAGACACTTCCAGATGGATTGTTCTTCTGGGTAAAACTGGTGTTGGGAAGAGTGCAGCTGGAAACACAATACTGGGACAGAGAGAGTTCAGATCTGAGAGGAGTTTGAGATCAGTAACCTGTGAATGTTCAGATAAACACGCCACTGTTTCAGGCAGATCTGTGACTGTAGTTGATACTCCTGGATTCTTTCACACAGAGATGAAAGATTATGAGTTAATGTCAGAGATAGCGTGGAGTGTTTATTTATTCAGTCCTGGACCGCACGCTTTCATCATTGTGATTAATCTGAGTATGATATTCATTGAACAGGAGCAGCAGATTGCAGAACAGATTAAAACACTGTTTGGTGAAGAAGTGTTAAAATACTCCATCGTTCTCTTCACTCATGGAGATCTGCTAGAAGGAAAGCCCATGAAGAAACTCATTTTAGAGAGCAGTAGATTAAGAGATCTAGTTGATCAGTGTGGAGGCAGATTTCACGTCTTCAACAATAGAGATGTGAATAACAGAGATCAGGTGAATGATCTACTGCAGAAGATTGACACAATGATAGAGCAGAATGGAGGAGGACACTACAGTAATCAGATGCTTAAAGATCCTCTGAGATTCAGACGAGAGAAAGAAGAGAGGAGACAAAGAGAGGAAAAGGAGAGAAAACAACAAGAGAAGAAACTAAGACAAGAGGAGTTTGAGAGAGCAATAAAATACACAGAGGAGAGAATCAGAGCAGAGTTTGAAGGTCCACCAAGATTTTTACAAGAAAGACTTAAAGCAATAAGACTGAGAGAGGAACAATGGGAGAAGATTGAGAGAGAAAGGAGACAGAACACAGGAGTTCTGTACATTGGGTGGTTTGTAGTCCCCGATCAAAAGGGAATAGAAATGATTAGAAAACAAGAGGAGGAACATAGACAAGAGGAGATTGAGAGAGTGATAAAGGAGACAGAGAGGAGAATCAGAGAAGAGTTTGAAGGTCCACCAAGATTTTTACTAGAAAGATTTAAATTAATGAGACTGAGCGAGGAAGCGGAGAAAACACACCGAGAGGAGATTGAGAGAGTGAGAAAGGAGACAGAGAGGAGAGTCAGAGAAGAGATTGAAGGTCCACCAAAATTTTTACTAGAAAGATTTAAATCAATGAGACTGAGCGAGGAAGCGGAGAAAACACACCGAGAGGAGAAACAAAGACAAGAGATTGAGAGAAAGGAGACAGAGGAGAGAGTCAGAGCAGAGTTTCATGGTCCACCAAGATTTTTACAAGAAAGGCTTAAAGCAATGAGACTGAGCGTGGAAGAGAGGATACAACAAGAGGTGGAACGAGAGGAGGAACAACAGGAGCAGTTTGAGAGATTCTTTGACCACCCGTTTACATCAGTGAGACATGGGTACAGACTGCATGATATGAGGGATATGAGAGAGATGGAAATGAGACATATGGAAATCATACGTAAGGAAATGCAGATTGAACTACAAGAGGAGATTGAGAGAGTGATAAAGGAAACGGAGGAGAACATCAGAGCAGAGTTTAAATGTCCACCAAGATGATGATGAGATATACTTCAATCAATGTATCGGAAACATCAAGAGGAAAAACAAAGACACAGTGAGATTGAGTGAGAAAGGAGACAGAAGAGAGTCACCACAGCATTGAACATGAAAGGCCATCAATATTTTTACTAGAAAGACTGACAGAGAGACCGAAGAGGGAATCAGAGCAGAATGCGAACTAGAAGCAAGATTAAGAAGTGAAGAGAAAACAGAATTAGAATGCAGAGTAAACAAATGGAGATGGAGAGAGTGATAAAGGAAACAGGGGAGAAAATCAGAGCAGAGTTTAAATGTCCTCCAAGATGAAGATGAAATGTACTTCAATCAATGAGTCAGAAAGATCAAGAGGAAAAACAGACAAGGTGAGATTGAGTGAGAAATGAGACAGAAGAGAGAGTCAGAGCAGAGTTTGAAGGTCCACCAAGATTTTTACAAGAAAGGCTTAAAGCAATGAGACTGAGCGAGGAAGAGAGGAAACAGTTGGAACGACAGGAGGAACAACGGGAGGAGTTTGAGAGATTCTTTGACCACCCGTTTTCATCAATGAGACATATACATGTATGGACTGCACATGGATATGAGGGATATGAGAGAGATGGAAATGATACGCAAGAAAATGCAGAGAAAACTACAAGAGGAGATTGAGAGAGTGATAAAGGAAACAGAGGAGAACATCAGAGCAGAGTTTAAATGTCCACCAAGATGATGATGAGACGTACTTCAGTCAGAAAGATCAAGAGGAAAAAGACAAGGTAAGATTGAGAGAGTGAGAAAGCAGACAGAAGAGCGTCACAGCAGCATTTAAGAGGCCATCAATATTTTTACTAGAGAGAGAGAGAGAGAGAGAGAGAGAGAGAATGAATCAGAGCAGAATGAGAAGAAGCAAGATTAAGAAGTGATGAGAAAACTAAAGGAGTGTGTCTGTAGTTGATACTCCTGGATTCTTTGACACTCAGATAAAAAAGATGATGATGGAGATAGAGAGAAGTGTCAGAACAGAATACCTCCCTTACTTGGTCTTCCACGCTTATTTTCAGAGGATACTTCTGAGATAATCAAGATGTGTTAAGAAGACATATTTACACATTGTTAATGTACTGATGATACTGAGGTCCTTTTAGGGGCTCCGTATATGTAATAGATTTGGTCTAAAAAATGACAGAAATGGCCCAATAAAAGAATGACAATTGCACTTATCATGATTGTACTTCATTTCAATATGTTTCTCGTGAGCACATGAAAGTCTGTATATTTGTATTTTTGCAAAGGTCCCATTAGGGGCTCCGTACTTCGCCAGCAACATAAACCAAATATAAAAAAACTAAAGAAAAACAGCCAGAGGTGAAAAACAATATAGACTTGTTCTGAAAGCAAATTATAATGTTGTTACATTGCAGTCTTTGGAGGACACTTCAGTTACTTGACACTGTTCAAAATTGATATTACCGACTGTGGCTTCAGCGAGGTCTGCACTGGGAGAGAGATAGTGGTCAAGTGCATAATGACACACACTTGTGTCCCGTTTCAGTAATTGGCCCGGAGAGATTGCTTAAAGCCACTGAGGAACAGTGGCTGAGGAGAGAGGAGACAGACTGAGGATGCTCCGGAGAGCTCGAGAAGATTTTGGGTTTAAAGTGTAAAGAGTTTATGTGCAGCACGTGTCTTAATGTTAAATTTGTGCCAAAAGCAACCTCAGTAATGCCGACCCTGACTTCTACCTTCCTTCATACGACTTTTATCACACCGACCATTTCAAGTGAAACCCAAGTACTGCTAAAAAAAAATATCAGAAGCATAAATGTTTGGATGTGGTTTTATAACAAGGTTCACTGTTAATTATTTCCCCGTTAAAATAACAGGAAATTACTGGCAGCAGGGTTACCATTATTTTCCTGTTATTTTAACAGTTTATTCCTGTTAATGTTTTTTTTACAGTGCACTCCCCGTAATGTTTTTCAACAGGAATTTACTGTGAATCACAGAAAAAACAGGAAACAACTGGCAGCAGTGTTACCATTATTTTCCTGTTAAATCACCATTTATTTTGTTTCCATTAAATATTGTTAATTATTTTTAGCATATAGTAACGTGTACCACTGATTGTTATAGACATATTCTAGCTTGAGTTAATACAAGAATAGGCATAATCCATCAGATAACACTTAAGTGAAAGAAAACGAATAGTTCCTTGTTGAAATTAACTTTTTTTATTGTAATACAAACACTGAAAGTTAAATACTTACAAATGTAGGCACACCTGGATCAGACCAATCACAGAAATGTTCATTGCTGACATCTGTGGTCGCTGGACGGAAAACAACAACTGCGTCTGTCTTAAACTAGCAAAGACACTTGCGTTTGGCTTTTCGCTGCGTCGGTGCAAGATAGGGCCCTAAACCTCAACATTTAATGTTCCCTGAACTGCTAAAATTCAGTTAAAACACTCAAACCAAGGATATACACTGTGAGGAGTATATAAAAATGTTACACATAGGCTCAGATTAATCACAAACAAATCTCATTTTCTCATCTTCATTGCTTAAAAAGTAGCAAATACATTTTTAAACTCAAATACATTGTTCATTATAACAAAATACTGAACCACAACACTTAGTGTTACCTAAACCACTAAAATTCAACATGTATGAATACATTCAAACCAATACTTAACACTTAATGGAACTCTTCATCAATAAAGAGCAATAAACAATAAAAACACTGTCACTGCTTAGACCACTAACCATTTTCTCAAAGCACACAATGAGGATCCTTTGCAAAGTCTTGGGTCTGTATATGAGAGAGAGAGATGAGTTCCATAATTGCAAATTTTTTATACAAAATTATATCACATGGCTTGACCTAACAAAAGCTAATTTTAGAAACAGAGCACAAAACAGACATAATTAACATAAAATAATAGAAAGTCTGATGAGTACAATTCATTGAAAGAACAAAAAAAGAATGGCAAAAGAGCATGGAAGAGGAATTCAGCATTCTAACTTTGAAAGGCAGTTGAGAATGAACATTAGAATGAATTTCCCCAGCTCCTGAGTTGTTGCTGTTTGAACATGTGTAATGTATACATCTTACTCACCATTTTCAAATGAAATCCCACTGAAAGTCCATGAGCTTGCGCAAGAGGCTGGCGACGTGTGAATTGACAGTTTTTTTCCCCTTTGCAGCCTTTGTCCCTTTTTCTGGGTTTATACCCACAAAGCGTCTGAAAAATTATACACTGGTTAAAAATCTTATAATTCACACAGGCTAACAGCACAACAAATGTACATGAACTATCCTCAACATGCACTATTGTCTTGCCTCTGTGAATATTGTAAGTTGCACTAAAACTTTCTAAATCAAAGTTAATTGCTAAATCCCATCACCAGACCTGTTGAAACCATGCTTAAACCACACACTGTAAAAAATTTACTGTAAAATTTACAGCAACTTACTGGCAATTTTGGTTGCCAGTAAGCCTGTAGATTTTACAAGATTACCGTAAATCATAAACTACAATTAACTGTAAAAAAAAAACAGCACACCTGTAAAAGCAGAAAAACAAGAGCAGCTGTGAATTTACAGTTCTTTATTGTATTATTTACAGTATGATTATTTGATAATTTGAGGAAACCGATTATCTTAAATTGGTCAATTGACATTTCATATTTATACTGTGATTTTATTTCATTTGAGTCCACTAAAAAATTATATTAATTTAAATGAGTTAACAAACCATCTATTTAACTCAATCCTCTTGCAGATAATTGTTAGTTAACAACAGCATACACCTGAATTGACAAACTTAACAAAAAGATCATCAATACATCAGCAACTACAGTCACTGCCTTTAAATAAAGCAACACACAGCATTTCATCGGTGTTTATCTGCTCATCCTGAAATGAAGCACAGGCTCTACTCTTCAACACAATGGTGACACACAAAACACAACAGAAACACTTTAAATCCCAACAGAACATTAAACACTAACAGATCTCCACTATATCATTATGTGCAAAAACACATAAAATCACACTTCATTTCAGCATTTACTCTCCTGAGCAGTCATTCATATAAATATATATTCACATTTCACATTTATCCTCCTAAGACCCGAGTTTTGGTCAGAGGTGGAAAGTCCAGGGGTCAGAAAGTAAAAGTCCTACCACATTTTTATTCCACCCACAGCAAAAACTCCAGTGTTAAAGTTAATGAGATAATTAAGTGAATAATTGAGTGATGATTGAGCATTATTGAAGACACCTGATGATAACAAGCAGAATCACTGAAGGAGAACGGCACATTTTTTAAGTCACCATTATGGTGATCAGTGTCTGCTTTAGTTGGGCTCTTGACCCTTTATTCTTTAATTTTAGAAGTTGTTTGGCTGCTGTACATGAGTTATAACAGCCATATGAACAACAGGGAAAGCTGATGCGCTGTGGTTATGTTTTGACATAATCATCATTTGTAGAGTTGAACCTTTTGATTACACAGTATAACATTTTCAGAAATTTAAATATTATCCAAAAGATTTCTTAAAAGCTATTCTATTCTAATTACTTTATGGGCACACACAGACATCAAGAATCAGCCTGTGATTCTCAACAATGGTGACAATTATATAGCATGTTGCAGTGCATTCTGGGTGCCACCAATCAAAATTAATTCATGGCCCCCATCATGCATTGCGGTATGAATAAATTATGATCTGAATTGTCTTAGTAATTTCCTTTTCCTAATTGAATATTCTGTTTGTCACCATTGTTGAGATTCATACACTGAATCTTGATGTATGTGTGTGCCTAAAAGAAAGATTATTATTTATTTATCAAAACAACGTGTAAGACATCATTAAATTTATTTTGAAAAATCTGGATATAATGTTATAGAATCACTGTGATGCTGTTATGATCATTATACATTTAAGTCAGAGAGTAGGCTTTAAATGAGTTCAGTGATTCAGGTCAAATGATGATTATGTCTAAACATGATCTAC